TAATCTTCCACCCAAGCTTAAAGAATCTCGGGGCACCTTTAATTTATGTTGCCTTAGGTAACATTAATATCAAAAAGGTGCTCCTTGATCTTGGAGCTAGTGTTAATATACTTCCAAAAAATCTTTTTGATCAACACGACTTAGGGACTTTGGAACAAAATGATATCATTTTATGATTGGCCGATAAGCCAACAAAGATTCCCCAGGTATATCATCTAATGTCATAATTAAAGTGGAAGCTGATTTCTATTACCTAGTTGATTTTCGTGTGCTTGACACCGAAAGCACCTATAAAAAAGTCAACCTTCTATTATTTTGGGTCACCCATTTTTGGCAACAATAAATGCACAAATTAATTGTAGAACGGGTGCCATGGATATCTATTTTGGTAATATGAAACTTAGAATTAATGTGTTTAACACGTTTCCTAACTCACCATCAGATTATGAATGTTATCAGGTGGATGTGGTTGATGACTTAGTATATCTATTTACTCTCAAGATCTTACACCCCGATCTGTTGGAACTCTTTCTTTCTAATGACAGGGATGTGGTGTTGGACTTGGAAGATATCAAGATGGTTGAGGAAGCATTTGTAAATGCTATTGAGCAAGGGAGGCCACCATGGAGTCGTCAAATTAAAAATTTGCCAACAAGTTTCTCGAAACCGCTTAAGCCATCTTTGGATGAGCCAGCTACTCTTGAACTTAAAACTCTTCCTTCACATCTTAAGTATTTGTTTTTAGGATTTAATGATAACTTGCTATTATCATTTCTTCTTATTTGATAGGTCCACATGAGGAAGCATTACTAAAAATGCTTTCTAAGTACAAGGGAGCAATTAGATGGACCATAGCAGACTTGAAGGGAATTAGTCCAACGACATCTATGCATCGAATTATCACTAAAGCTGGAGCAAAGCCATCCTGAGATGCACAACGAAGGCTCAACCCAAATCTACGAGAAGTGGTTAACCAGGAGGTGCAGGCTTGGATGGGGAGAACTAATATATGGATGGAGGGTGTCGACACAACACTAGTTAATCTTACTGAGCAGATGCGACAGGTTGGTACTATAGTCGACAACACTTATAGTGTTGCTACTCATCAGTTGTACCAGCAGATGTACTATACGGATGTGGCCTATAGACGAAGTCATGTACAACGTGACCCGATGGACATTGATCTACCGCAGCGATCTCGAGCACCAGCAAAGTTTTCTACTAATCTGGGGACCCGAGTGACTATCCATCACCATCGAAGTACGAGCACTATCATCTACCACCAGCTACAATAGACATTGTTCGATTTGATAATTTAGTTGGGTCGATCTTTAGGTATCCTCCACCATACCCATGATATTCGCCACAGCCACCTCCACATACAACTTTGGTGAGATCCTCTTTTGAATTTTTTGTTTTTATGGTTGTGTGGTTAAGATACTTTTCTTTTATTTTTCTTTTTATCTTTTTATTTGGGATGAATGTACTATTATCTTAAACTCATATATTGGTATTGTTCTCTCGTGGATTGGTTCTATGAAATTTGTGATGAGTTAGTAGCTTCTCTATCTTCTGAATGTAACTCATCAAGATGGAAAATGATAGGAGTTTCGTACATCGAGTCATATATATAATGTTGATTTTGTGGGTTGCTAAGCCGGTTTGGAAATTTTTATATATTTAAAAATTGTTATGTGATATACCCAACTTTGAAAAATGAAGGTTTTTGGCTCGAGCCTACGATCTTTCAATTGAGGACCCAACGGAACAGTATGTGTTGTCATGCTTTGAGTACTTGGTCTTACTTATTCTTGCACCTTTAGGGTTATGAGGGGGCTATTATTGTTTTCACAAAACCAAAAAGCATCAAAAGACATTGAAGAACTTCCAAGTATCAAGTCATATTTAGTCCATGCAACAAAGCTTTATATTTTTGGCAGATTTAGTCCCTATAACAAAGGTCGTACATTTTGACCGATTTAGTCCCTATAACAAAGGTTTCACAATTTGAAGTCATATTTAGTCCATGCAACAAAGCTTTATATTTTTGGTAGATTTAGTCCCTACAACAAAGGTCATACATTTCGACCGATTTAGTCCCTGCAACAAAGGTTTTACATTTTAGCAGATTTAATCCCTGTAATTTTTTAATTTATAGAAATGGTCCCTCTAATTTTTTTTTCAAAAACAACCAATATGTGTAAGATTTTTTATTTTGGCAGATTTGACCCCTATACAAAACTACTTATATAATTTTTTGTGTTGTTTTGTTTGTGTGTAGATAAATTTTTTTCTTTCAATTTCGATTTTGTTAGGTAAAATGATCAATTTATAGATTTTTAGATTTAACATAGTAGAATCAGAACGCTCAACTCCGTTTTTGTAATTTTCCCATTTCTTAATGTTTTTTTGGTAAATTCTTTCTTCAATTTTTAGTTATATAGGAAGGTTATGCATGTTACACCTCCAACATGGATATAGTATGTCTCTTAAGAACGTTATAAAAAATATGTTTGCATTATTAACATTTTAGAAATCCTATGACATTTACAAATTTCAATCACGTTTCCATAGATTTCGCTCAACTTATTCGCATGGTTTTGAAAACCGGACCGGCCGGTTGAACTGGTTCAACCAGAAACCAGTTAGTGCACCGGTTTTATTAAACCTGAAAACCGCTTGTAATCAAACCGGTTAAGAACCAGCGGTTCAACCAAAAACCGGTAAAAACTGAGCTGGTCAAACCAGCAAAAAAACCGGCCTAAATATTTTAATTATAAAATTTAAACTATAAAATAGTTCAGTGGACCCACTCCTTAAAGGTTGATCCGATTGTTTGCGTTTGGAAAAGCCTATCACCCCTTTTCTTTTATAACCCTCGCTAAAGCCTTAACTTTTGTTTTTTGTCGATGTGGGATACCTGAAGGAACAATTTGAGGACTCCTCTTCTACATTGATAAAAGCTAATATATATATATATATATATATATATATATATATATATATATATATATATATATATATATATACTTTTTTTCATTACGTTAGTTATAAAATTTTGAGAAAAAGTTAGCATATAAATTATTAGATTTAGAATTTTGGAAGGTGTTTGTTTTATTTTATAAGTTAAAAAATTAATGTTAATATATATATATATATATATATATATATATATATATATATATATATATATATATATATATATATATATATATATATATACTCGTCCGGTTCATCCGGTTTTTAGAACCGATCCGACCGGTCAAACCAATTGAACCATCAACCCGGTAAGACGACCGGTTCGATGTCCGGTCCGGTTTTCAGAACATTGCTTATTCGAATACGCGCCAATGACGTGGGGTTTGTTTACTAGTTTCTATAAATAACGAAGTGTTCTTGTTCAATGACCATTTATGTGCATAGGTCAAAGCTTTTTGTCGAGGAACTATTTATGACAATAATTTAAAGTTGTTGCACATGGACTAGTATTATAAAAAAAACCAAAGAATTTTACTTCGGTTAAGAAATAAAATAAAACAAAAACTTGCGCACGGTTTCTAACTTCAAAAACCGAAAATTGCGATTTTCGGTCTAGTTTCAATCAAAAATCTCAATGTGTTCACCAACATTGAAAGTCAACTAAGTAGTCAATAACATTCAACTTTTTCATTAAACTGTATATATTGATGCATCTATAACAAGCATGTATTGTGGAAATATTATATTATTATTTATTAATTTGTTTATAACAACAGTTCACCCCAACGATGAACAATGTTGTATTCTTGATCTAACTTCATTTTAAAGTATCTTATCACCAATATGCCATTATAGATTACGGACAAAAGTGATATCGGGTCCATATATCAAACATTTCACATTCTTGTTTACATAAAAACATCAAAATGAACTTTTAGCCACCAACTTATTGACACAAAACCTTGAGAATCAATAGAACAATATACAAATGTAAGATTTGAATTCAACATAACTAAAAGAAAAAACATACATTTTCCTCTTCTCAAAACCTAAAAATCACCTCAAATTTGTAACTTAAAACTATCTCAAAACCAAAGCTAATCTTTATAACACTTTAACAAACTCCTTTCAAAGGCTCCACATAGTTTATCTTTGCATGGTTGACACATGAAGCCACTTACATCCTCCATAGTATCAACTGGCTCACATATGAACTCTTTGTTGCACCATGTACAATTTGTTTTGAACCTTTCATTGATGATTTCAACTGCTTCTTCTTGTTCATTGCCAACATCCATGTCAGCATGCTGATGTGGACCCATTCATGCCATCAAAACATTCATATTAGTTGGAAGAAAACTACAACAACAACAAAATTGACTTACCTTTTCAAAAGCACGGGTCCCAGTTGGAAGATGAAATCTTCGAGTGGTTTCCTTGTGAAAAGTCGCCAGGTGTCGCTCCAACTCACGCATATCTTGAAACACTACTCCACAAGGAGAGCATTCAATAAGGGTTGAAACTTTAACATCATAGAGTTCAAAGGTTGTTGACCAGTCAACATCTTCCTCAACCTCAACAACAGATGAATCTTCAACTCCATTCACCTCCTATGCATTCAAAAACCGTATTATTTTAATTTTTTTTTTTTTTCAGAAAGATGATTCTAATAACAGTGATAAGGATATTTTTTTTTACTTACAAATGTGGGAGCTGTATGACAACCATTTTCTGTTTGCCTCATTTGCCCTTCTTCACTATCAACATCTGTTATTAGGGATTGATTTTTCAGATATATTGCAGCATCCTTGCATGACTTAAAATGTTCCCCTGAGGGGCTGAAGATATTAAGGAAACAGCATCATTAGGGATAATTATGAGGGGGTTCTTCAAGAACACGTAAATGTATAGATGGAAATAATCGAATTACTGTAATTATGTTACTTGAGTTTGGACAAAAATGAAGTCTTTTTAAGGAAAAACCATATGCTAGGGTTTGAAAACACAGTCAGTAAACAAACTCGCAAAGTTTGACTAATTATGATCAAGAACCTAATTGAAACCCTAAAATCCAGATATTGTGTATAAGCATTCATGACATTCAAGATTCACATGAGCATCTAATAGAGATGGATGTGACTTGTGAGCCAGTTCAAAAGATTAAAAATGTCATGAATGCTATGACACATTGAGAACGGAGCAATTGCCCTAAATTTCTTCTAATGACATGAAGGAACCAGGTAGTTGTCAACAATGTGGATCTTTATAGGAACTGAGTAATATTGCTTTAGAAGGAAATAATCAAACTTTTAACTATAAACTAGGTTGAAAATTGCGTTCGTATGAACAGAAATGAAACCTAGAGATAAACTGTTATTCGCAATTGTATACCTCTTATGAGCACAAACCATTTCTGATTCAATGTAATCTAACTTGAATCGGAAGTCAAAATAGAGGACGAATCGACTAAGAATCTACGAGTTACAGAACCAGCGAAAAATCCGTACAGTTGGTGTTTTTTTTTCTGATTCGGTGTTCAAAGAACACGTGCATTTGTTCGATGGAAACAGCGAAATAATCCATCTGGATTTTAAACCTAACTAAAAAATGCGTATAAGTTGATCCGAAATTTCGAATCGAAAGACAATGTGAGAAGAGAGGAGAGTGATGATCACAACCTGACATAACTCCGGCAGTATATAGAGTGCAGTCCAGCGCGGCGGCGTAAAGCGAGCTCTATTTTCCAGTCAATTGGCAGAGCTTTCACGAATTCGGCGGCGTCCACCACCTTCCTCCGCTCACTGCGACCGCACCACTCTCCTTGTAAACTCTCCATAAACCCTATCAGCTGTGCCCTCGACATACGTTCCGTCATACTCGCCAAATCGCTCTCATACGCGCCGTCCGCTACACGCGCCAGAAAGTTTAAGTCAACCTCCTCCCCTTTCACAAAAATTACACTTAGCCCCTCCAACTCCTTCTTAATCTCATCCATCCCCCCATATTTTACCTTTACCTCCTTCATATGACTTTTAACCTCATGTTTGTCAATCATCATCTCTCTACTATAACCATCTCCCCCCTCGCCCTCAAAAATGAATTCGTTTTTGTTCCAGGTAGTAGGAAGTCTGTGACCTGAGCGAGGGCGACGAGGAAAGGAAAGTATTTGTGCTTCAAGCAAGTCAGGGTTAATGGTTGGTATGGTGGACTTTTGGACAGATGTAACTTCTATGAGACTATTGTAATCGGGGTTATTGTTGTCAGAAGTAGTAGACCAATTAGAAGAAGGGAGGCTGTGATTAGAAATTGATACATTAGCCATTTGCAATGAATTATGGATGTTTCAACTTTCTTATGGCTTTGTTGGTAGATGTGCTATCGCTTTGTTGTTAGATGGTGTTGGATTTTTGAGAGGTAGTTCTTATAGGGTCTAAAAGAAAGTATACATGAACTAAATGCATTTTTGAAACAGTTGACTTCTTTGATGAAATAATGATAATAATAAATGTCATAAAAAGGATATTTCCATTGTGAACTAAACATTCAATTTTTTTTTTTTGTTGCAAATAACATATCCTTCTTATAGAAAATACAACTTATAAATTTTATTTTATTTTATTATTTTATTTTTTGTATTTTGACAAATTAATTATTTATTTGGAGTTGAAATATTAAATAAATAAATAAGGAAAAGATTTAAGAACATGTTACCATATTTGTCTCTAAAACCCATTATTTTTATAAATTATTTTCATATTACAAATGTAACTTAATATTTAAAATTAGTAATAATAAATTTTGTTTAATGTTACCCCAAAAGCATAAATTTATACTTTTAAATAATTTTGATTAATGTTGCACCAAAAGCAGATATTTATACTTATTTTTCTCTAAAACCCATTAATTTTGAATATTTTCTATTTCGAAAATAACCATTATTTATAATTATAAATAATTGTCATCAGAAAGTTAAATCCTATCCACCATGTGAATAAAATATAGAAATACATATCTATAATATGAGTGAGTGTGTGGGTAAATGATTTGGTAAGCAAGTAATTTTTTATATATTCTTTTACACTTTAACATATTAATTTGTTTATTCTTATCAGTCCAAATGGGAAGTTTATTATTAAATATTAAAAATTTAAGACATAAAATATAGTTCATTTTAAATAAAATATATAAGGAAGAAAATTACATATTACAAAATATAGCATTTATTGTAGATTTGATATCTCTCTCTCTCTTTTTTTTTTTCTCTCTCTCTCTCTCTCTCTATATATATATATATATATATATATATATATATATATATATATATATATATATATATATATATCAAAGAAGAATATATAAGGAAGAAAATTACATATTACAAAATATAGCATTTATTGTAGATTTGATATCTCTTTCTCTCTCTCTCTCTCTATATATATATATATATATATATATATATATATATATATCAAAGAAGAAGGAAAGTTTTAGTAGAAATGTAAGAATTTTTTTATATACATATTTTTTTAGAGAACAAACAAAATAAATCATTAGATAATTCACAAAAAAAAATTATCAAAAAATAATAAGGGAAAATGACTTATTAATGTAATTAACTTTTCGATATGTTCACATCTAGGTAACTATTTTTTTTGTACACATCTAGGTAACAAACTTGTTGGAAGTGTTCACATATGACCATTATGACTTGCTATAGCATGTTAAATCCTATATGTGAACAATTTAAACAAGTTCGTTACTTAGATATGTATAAAAAAAATAGTTATCCAAATATGAACAAAACGAAAAGTAAAAAAATAAATTACACAAATGGTCTTTATGGTTTCGGAGAATTTGTATTTTTGGTCCTTAACTTATTTTTTTAACTCGGATGGTCCAACTATTTGTATTTGTTACGCGTTTGGTCTTTGTCTTGACTAAAAAGACTATTGTGCCCTTATTAATATATTTTTTTAATTAATTTTCTTATTTATGTATTTATTTTTTTATATATTTAAAAAAATTAATAGACTCACATATATGTATCTCCTCACTATAAACCTCAAACTATATTTGAGAAATTTAATTCGGATGATCCCTACTGTTTATTTTTGTTGCGCGTTTAGTCCCTATCTTACCTAAAAAGACTATTGTGCCCTTATAAATTTATTTTTTAATTAGTTTTCTTATTTATGTATTTATTTTTTTTATATATTTAAAAAAATTAATAGTCCCTATATATTTGTATCTCCTCATCGTAAACCTGAAACCACATTTGAGAAATTTAATTTGGCTCTTACCAGTCACCATCTCATCTCTTATCTTCCCCAAGTTCTATTTCTTTTCCATCTTTAGTAACATTGACGTCTTCACTATCCTTCTATTTTTGGTACTTCAACTCTGGCAAACCAACATCATAACATATTGTCTCTTCACTTTTAGTGGGTTGTGGTATTGATTCGACGAAGTTGAAGGACCGAAAAAAGAAGTGATGATCAAGACGTCGATATCACTAAAGATGGAAAATAAATAGAAATTAAAGAGGATGAGAGATGAGATGGTGAGGAGATACATATATGTGGAGTCTACTAATTTTTCTTAAATATATAAAGAATAAATACATAAATAAGAAAATTAATCAAAAAAAATTAATTAATAAGGGCCCAATAGTATTTTAGTTAAGACAGAGACCAAACTCGTAACAAAATTAAACAGTAGGGATCATCTGAGTTAAAAAATAAATTAATTAAAAAATAAACAGTAGGAATCATCTGAGGAGCTACAAATATATGGGGTCTATTAATTTGTTTTTAAAATATGTAAGAAAATAAATACATAAATAAGAAAATTAATTAAAAAATAAATTAATAAGGGCACAATAGTCTTTTTAGGTAAGACAGAGACCAAACGCAGAACAAAAATAAACAGTACGAACCATCCAAGTTAAAAAAATAAGTTAGGGACCAAAAGCACAAATTCTCCCAAACCACAGAGACCATTCGTATAATTTTCTTTTACTTTTTGTTTTGTTCATATATGGCTAACTATTTTTTTTTGTACACATCTAGGTAATGAACTTTTTGAAAGCATTTACATCTAGGATTTAACCTACTATAACAAGTCATAATGGTCATATGTGAACAATTGCAACAAATTTGTTACCTAAATGTGTACAAAAAAAAGATAGTTACCCAGATATGAACATATCGAAAAGTTAGTTACCTTAATAAGTCATTTTTCCAAAAGATAAGTAGTGAGTACGATTTGCAATGGTTTGCTTATGTCAACTACAAAGTAAAAATGTTCTAATTGGATTATGTAGATAATTTTTCAATCTTTCATTAAATGATAAATCACTACAAGTGATGGATATACTCAATTTAAATAACGGAACATCTAATATTTGAAAATTGTATGTAGAATGACTAGAAAAGTGGAAACAATGCCAAATATAATTTGCTCATTATGAACAAATCAAAAATATTTGTAGACAAAGCCAATCATCAACTCCCAACCATCAGGCGGAATCACTTTCATGATTCATTTTTAAGTTAATTAAGAAAGAAATTGTTTTCATGACAATTTTAATAAATAACAACAAAATAATCATAAAACTAAATCATCGAGATATTTTTTCGGAATTTTTTTTATTAATCATGTTATTTTTTATTCATCTAGTTACTCATTTGTTTTGTTTGCCAAAAAAATATGTACAAAAAATCTTCTTTTCGCTAGAAAACAAATTTTGAATAATTTTTTTATCAAATAATTATTATAATATATTTTTTTTTAAATTTTTCATTGAATATAAATAAAAAGTTACGATTCTTAGTCCTGTAAGAAACAAAAAAAAAGATATATCAAAGTATTTTTTTATACATTTTTAAGGGATTTAGGATTTGTGTTACGTTTATGCATTATATATATATATATATATATATATATATATATATAGAGAGAGAGAGAGAGAGAGAGAGGAAGATAGGTTCCGTTAGGATTCAAAATAAAATTGTAATTTTGA